TACCAGTCACCCTCAGAGCCAATAGCTAAAAACAAAGTTAAAGTTTGAAATGCATGTTAAAAGGGGACCTCGACGTGACATTTACTCAAATCTTCTTGGCGCTACTTTTTTTTTTTTTTAACCTACACATATTTTATGCAAGTAGATGTATTTAATAATAATGGAAAAAGTACAAGGAAAAATGGCAAAACAGGTATGATAAAAAAATTCCAAAATGAATATTTTGTCCACAAACTTTGTCTCTGATTCTAATACTAAAACAATTTTACACTTATTGCAATAATAGGGAAGGAAATTTTAGCAATATGAACTTGAATTTACTGGCTCTTTAAGATAACTTTGAAAGAGCCATGGAAATTTTGTGTAAATATTTTGTGTAAATGTGTAAATATTTTAATGATAGTATGCATTATAAAGAGATATTTTTCTTTATGTGTACTAGCAAATGCCAGTGCAATCATTTGTGCTCAACACACAATAAGAAGCCAGACTACAAAGAAAGAATACTACTGACCCTGAGATAGTTAAATATAAAATAAAATATACATAATTATAGTTTAGGCATTTTCATCTTTTGTTTTCCCAGTGTTCTGCAAAATTACCTGATTTTAAAATACAGAGCAAGTGAGAGCCTGTGTGTATCTGAAATCAATAACTGAGCATTTTCAGGGCTGGATTTCTAAATTTCTGTGATAAATCAAAACTGCTCTTCACCTCTGTACAACTCCCAAAGAGGGGAGTAGCAGTGGCTAGAGGATAGCATATGGCAGTAGGACCCATTTAAATCTTGTTCCACACAGTGCAACTATATTAAATCCTGGCTTCATTAGAGTCTATGCTGAAATTCTTGTAACTTCAGCTCATTCACAATTTCAGCCAGAGAGTGTGGAACTGTAATTTGAATTAAATATAAGATAAATTCTTGCCCCAGGTGCCTGAACTAGGCGTTTCTACTTACCAGCTCACAGATGAGTATTGCCCATTGTAACCACGCAAGTCGTGTGGATAAATGAGCTCTGTTCCCTGGCCACATCTGAATTCAGTGAAGCCATTATCTACCCCCTAATGTAAAAAGGGAGTTTATATGTGCCAACCCCTGGACTGGTTTAGAGAGAAAGAAACATATCCCTAACTATGCATATCTCTTGTTAAGAGTATACATCTTTAATCCAAAAGTGTGCTAAAAGTAATGGAGAGACTGATGTATTTCTAGTATAAACATTCAGAAGGACAATCAGTATCTTCTCTTTTGCTTCAGTCATTTGCCATGTTTAAGCTATTCGAAAGTAATATTTACTTTGTATTTCTAGTTTCTCAGAGTAAATATAATCTGAAACATCTGGAAAATCCTTATACACTAGTCATGCTGAAGTAATGCTCAGGGGGGTTGTGAGCATGCTTACTGGCTCGAGCAATGTTTTGGATCCCTGTCCTTTGAATCTGACAGAAAGCAAAATGTAGTATCATTTTACTTAACCCCACAGTATCCAGACCAGTACAGTAAGCACTTTGCAAAATACATTGCGTGAGATATATCAAAGGTTCGGTGACTGAAGACATTTAGGTCCTACTGAAATGTGACTAAGCAAACTTCAAAAATTTGGTTCCAATGCATTTTTTCCCATTCCACATCAAACAGTTAATTTTATGTAAAACTGGTTCTTCTGTGATCCATCCCCAACTATATAAAAAAACCTGCTGTTCAAAAACAATGTGAAAACTGGTAAGGCAGCACAAAAGTTAAAATGAATGGCAAAGTTCCCAACAACTAAACTGGAAGCAAGTTACTTTTATGATTTCAAAGGAGATGCACAGCATTATCTGTGTTCCTAAGAACAATCTCTCTTTTCTAAACACAGCGCTAAGAACGGCAGGATTTCGAAACGGCAGTTTGGGAAGTCGACCTAGTGCACCTTTTAGAAGCAATGTTTATCAGCCAACTGAGATGGCAGTTGTGCTAAATGGTGGGACTGTAAGTATCACAATGTGATGATTTAAGAAATCTTTGATATGCACTGATATATACAACCACTACTAATTGAAAAACCTGCTTTTAGCTTATTCACAGCAGGGGGGAAAGCCATAAATGAAAATTCAGGCAGCAAATATGCATGTAATGCCTCCCTTCTAGAAAAGATGTAATTACCAAGTATTTTGCATGTTTTTACTTGGCTGTTCACATTTTGCAGTGCAGTTTGAGTTAACCAAGTTCTTTGGTGAGACCACATATTCAGTGACCCTTTCGAATTAATTTTGTGTTAAGGTATTTAACATAACTATTAAGTGACACAATTTCTAACCTGATTTTTTTCAAGATGATGTGAGTCAAACAAATGTTTACAAGGCCAGTACATTACTTTAAATAAGAATCATTGTTGCAGATAGTGGTGGTCTCTCACATATCTTGGATTTTTCTTGTAAAATGTATGTAATTCTTTGTAAGTAAGTTACAGATGTGTACGTCTCTGGGAAAGGGATTCATGAAAGAGGAATACAGAATATTTTGAAATTAATATCATTGTTTTTTCTTTCTTAGACCATGGTTTGGCATGCCATTCTTTGGTAGATCTGTTTTTCTGCAGCCTGGTTATTGTACGAGAGGCTTGGTGATCTGATGCCAAACAGACTTTCTAAATGTTTTTCACACAATGTGTAATTTGTACTTGAAGATATTTCATATACTAGGTACACTGTTGAAAAAGAAGAATTTTCATCCCCATATTTTTCATGCATACCTACATGTTTCTTAAAAATTTACCCATGAGCCAGTTTATACTCATGTGAGTTGGGTTTTCTTTATTTTGAATCATGAGCTGATTCCATAACTCAACCTCTACATTTAAAAACAAATAATGTGAACTGATTGCAGGTGTCTCTTTGTTTTTAAATATGTAAAGTTTTGGTTGATTTGAGGGAACAAGAGGGACTAGATACAAGGGTTCTGCTGTGTGGGTAAGACAGTGGGAAACATATCAACTTAAGGCTTGTGCTTTCCTGTTAGTAATGAATAGCATCCTTCTGATGTTTGGATTCATCTATGCCTATGTTTTCTGATACCAGAATATACAGTTCAGGGAAAAGGCCGTTTAAGGATGGTAAGCTGTAGAATTTGTTTTGTTTTGTTTTGCATTGTTTTGCTTTGGTTTGAGGTGGATACAAAGCTTAATGGAGAATATCATATAGTAAAATGAGAGATTAATGTGTGTATATATAGTCATGGTTTTTACAGAAAGGTAAATGTACTGTATGGGTGGAAGATGAGTTTACTTGTATCACTTTGCTCTGGAACTACTGGCTGAAAGCTGTCATGTACATGTAGCATGATAACACTGATTTTTGAACAGACTAGATCTCTCAGTTATGGGTCTATTATCCTTATTTCCAGATACCAACTGCTCCGCCAAGTTACACTGGACGACACCTCTGGTGAAAGGCTGTAGGCTGTAGAGAATAAGAATCCTTGTTGCAGATGTTGTTCCCTGGCAGTTTGTCTTTGAGGGAGGAATCCATAACAGTACCAGAACAAAGCAACAAAACATCCAGGAGCTTTCGAAATCCTACAGAGGATTTTGTCTAAATGTGAACACCATTGAACTTATAATTGCAAAAACAAAACTGTAAAACTGAAGCTGAATTTGATTTAAAATAGAAGTAGGCACACCTTAGATTGTAAGAGGGGGATATTGTATTCTGAAATGTAAGATCTCCTCTCGTCTGTAACTAGTGTGCGAGGCAAGCCTGTTTTTGTTGGGTGCCAGTTGCTTGCAAAATACCCTCTTCTTGCCTAAACTTAATTCATGTTGCCACAAGAGATTGCCACTACAGTGTGAAAATATGCAGGATTTCTTTCTGTTTTGCTCTTTCTCCCTTCATTTCAAATGTCATGAGAAGTACTTTGTTTGCTTCATTATCTAGCTGTATTGTATAGTCACGTAGCATCATGTGTAGTCGAGCATTGTCACTCTGTGGCAACTATATTACCGTTACACTGTAGGCTGATACTATTCTCTTTAAAAAGCTGGCGTAGGAAATGCAGTTCTGGAGGGATGAAAGGTCTATGCATGTTTCATGCGAGTTATGGAGCTTCTTGAGGCAGAGAGAAAAAGCGTAGGTCCGGCACAGAGGCAGCTCTCCTTGGCCGTGTGGGATCGAGTCCCCGTTATTCCAGCCTCAATGCCGGGTGCGAGTGAAGAGCCGTGCACTCTCGCCTCTCCTACAGACAAAGCCATTAAGTGAAACTTTGGAGAGATACGCTTTGGCAGAGACTTAGCTGGGGAGAGAACGTGAGTCGAGTTTGCCAGGAGTTCGTTGTGATGGTGGATGAAAAGCAACCCGCTGTAATGGCCGAGCCAGCCTGGTCTGTTGGGCTGATCTTGCCGAGCAGGAACACGGTGGCAGCTGAGAAGCACTGACCACCTTTCAGGAGAAACTCGGCAGCAGATAGGGTCGAGACCTCCCTTTCCAATCCTTGTTCATATGAGTAGTCCCCTTGACTGCAGTTGTTTGTGCATTTAAATGTGGTTGTGCATTTCAGTGCCTAGCTAGTAGAATCTCCGTGCTGGAGGTGGTTTGTTGTTGTTTTTGTTTTTTTTAAGGTGGTTTCTTCCCTACTCCTTCATCTCACTTCCACTTTTTTGAGTTGATATAAAACAGACTCTCAAAGCTTTTTATCTTTGTTTTTTCCAGGTTATTTAAAAGGTTCCCATTGCCCATTGTTTGTGCCATGTTTTTTCATTATGTTTAAGCAATCATTCCTTTATTTAACATTTAATACATATCGGACATTGAAAACTTCATTGTATCGTCACTGTTTGGCCAACGTTAATCTTAGCTTTCCTCAATACTAAAAGCTAATTGTTTTTACTCGAGGGCATAGGAAACATGTAACAATTAAACTTTGCATATGCTATAATAAAAATATATATTTTCAAACTAAAAAAATATAATGTACAAATAACTGAATAGCTTAGTAGCTTCACATAAAGAAGTTACTTGCTGTATACTGCAAAAGAAAGACAAGCTTTTTATTTTTCAAGAGTCTTCCTGATTCTTCATGTACCTCCATTTCTACTGAATTAGGAACTTAGTCTTGCAGACTTGTATTCCCCCGAGTGGTCCCATCGACACCAGTAGGTCTGCATACAGGTACAGAGGCTGCAAGACCAGTCCCTAAGTCTTGCACACAGATATATATGTGTATATATATATATGGAAGAAATATATTTTGCCATTCTTGCCATGATCATCTTACAGGGTTTTATTTCAATGCCCTTCTCTTCCAGAAGCAATGTTTTTCTGTCATGCATGAGTAAAGGAGTATGTTAGCTCCCCCCTGCCCTTCCCTCCTCGAAGCAAAGGAAGCATGTGCTTAAGGATTGCTTATTTTATTTTGTAAGTAACTAGATGGCCTTAGTAACCAAGTAGGGTAGGGGTGGATATTGCATGCTATCCAGTGACTTAGAAATCAATTTACTTGTTTTAAGCAAGGCATTGATCAAATATGATAGTATTTAAGATAATGATAGTTACCCAGAAGATACATCATTTGGAACAATAAAAAAATCTATTACCATCACTTACCTGCAGAATTTTGCTTTTAAAGACCAATTAAAAAAACCCCTCATAAAACTATTGTAAAAATGTATAAGATGACCATGGCATAAATGGTAGGACAGCTTTCTTTTTAAAAGTTTATCATGCTACAACCAAGATTTATGAATTATAATATACATTTTACAGACTTTGGACAAAATCTGTACAAGACAGTTATCTTAAGAAACATTTTTTTTTCTTTTTCTAGATGTGACTGAATTGATAAATAGAGTTTCCAATCCTGCTCCTGATGATGTTGTTTGGAATTTTAGGCCTTATGCAAAGATATGGCCAGATCCTACAAACTGCTACTCATGTGACTAGTCTCACTGGGCTAGTCATGTGGACTATTCACAAAATTAAAAATCAGCAGGATTGGGTTTAATTTGTGGTGGTGAAAGTGTGGCAATAGATTAGGAAGGTCTTTATTTTCCAACTTTATACAATTAGTAATAAGCAACTTTTTTTTGTAAGTCACTAGTATGTGATGTAAAATGCCCCAAATAAAACTGTAATTGAAGAAAGGCACCTTTATGTTAACGTTTATTTTTGTTACAGTAAACAAATTGTTTACTTTTGCCTTTTATGAAAGTGATTTAGAATGTAGAGCATCTGTGAACAACATAGTAAGTAAGCACAAGCCTTTCACAGTTCAGTTAATTATAATTAGCTTTTATACTATAAAAGCTACTATGTTGTCCCTTGATGGTGTTTCCATGCAGAAAAATTAAATTGTAAAGCATCTGAAAAAACTACTACTGAAACAAGATTTATAATAAGTGGCTTTTGATCAATGGCTGGAAAAAAGTTCAAAGCCATTCTTTACAGATCCTGTCCTGCTTTCAGATGTGTTGTGGGTATTTGACACTTGCCAGATAATATATAGCATCTTCAGAAGAACACTCTCAATACATACAGTTGTTTTCATAAACAAGGTACATGAAATACTATGGAACTAGATGTTTCTGGTTTTATTCTAAACACAGGCGTATTGGTTGGCTTTGAGCTTGATGCCTTGGGTCTAACCAAAGGCCATGCAAAAGGGAGCATTGTAGCTTTTATAATAAAACAATTGGACTATTCTACCAACTTCCAGGATTACAAAGCAGGTGCTTTTTATTAATTGATGAGAGCTAAAGCTCATTTTTGATAGATAATATATATATTTATTAAATGTATTAATGTGTGTTTTATAACGTACCCTTTTTTCCGCTGATTGTTGCATACTGGTATCTTACTAAGTACATCTTTAAAGGATTTTCAAGACAATCAATGTGTACCATGATGACTGTACATAAGTATACAAAATTACAAAGGTTGTAAAGCATGGGCAAAAGTTTTATTTTCAAAATGCTGTTCTTAACAAGAATAAAGGCTTTACTATTTACTTACAATGTTTGTGTTAACTTGGTGTTAAAATCCACCTAAAATTTTCCATTACAGTAAGCTAATGGTGCTACAGCCAGCATTGTCCTGTGGTGACGCCATGGGTGCAATTCTGAAATATAAGCCAAGTCAAACTAAAGCAAGCCGGCTCCTAGGGGCTAGAGCCACTTTCCTCCAGCTCTGGCCACATCCTCACATTTACCCTTGGCTCTGACACCTATCAAACCCACAGCGAGCCAGTCAAGGAGCTGAGCAGCCAAACTCTTAACACTGGAAGTGATACTTTTCTTCCCAGTTGTCTTAGTGTTTTCCTGTACTGGCTCAATTGCTGGTGCTTATTAAAAGGAGAGGATAGGATCATATAGCTGGGGTTGAAGAATGTAGGTTGAGACTTTTTTCTTCTAATGGTTTGATTTTCCTGATCTGGTACAACCACCAGCATCACCAACCAGGAAAAAACTGAGGGGTAGGTACTGGTATAGCAGTGAGAACAAAGTCTGGGTAGGTGATGAAAGAAATCCATGTTGAACTATAGCAAGAGCTAGAAGGTGTCTGTGTTTTATCATGCTTTAATTCAAAACAACTAGATCTTTGTTTTACTTGTATGAAATTAGTAGCAGAACTGCAAATACATTCTCTAACTGTGAAATTATAAAGGCCTGAGTAGGACTATTCTTGGCAAGACTGAGTTAAAAAAGTAATGAGGGGTCCTTAGCCAGGGGGCCCAATCTGATTTTTATTCTGCTTGCACCTTATGTAAGTAAGTACACATACACAAGATCGCTGAAAATGCTATCACCGAGGTCTTAATTTAACTTTCTCAGCACATGTGCTAAGTGATAACAAAAGGGTCTTTGACATTTTTCCCCTGCAGAAATGCAGAGCAACCCTAGCTCTCCTTGCCTTCAGTTGGAATTGCAGAGGCATGGCCTTTCTGAAAATTAGACCATTATGAACAGAGCCTGGATTTGTATAAGTTGTCACAGCTCTGCAGAAGTCAGTAAAGCTATTCCAGTTTATACTAAATGAAGATTTTTGACTTAGTTTTCACATATGCCTATGTGTGGATATAAGCCCATTTATTTCATCCAGAGTTTTGGCCCTGTCAGAAGAGCTTGCAAGTGAGCATTCAGGAACACAAGATAAACACAGACTCAAAAATTTTGGCTAAATGTGCACAATTCCATCTGTTTTAACAGAACTGTGCTCACTTACACTAGGACTAAATTTTGTCTTGGGATGCTGGGTCCTTACATAATCTCTTTTTGATTTATACCACCTCTACATGAAAAAGTAAAACTAATGCTAAGAGTGCTTCTAAATCAGTACCACAAAGTTTAGTCCATGAGCTCTGTGTTTTGTGATATTGGTGAGAAAACTAAAATTGAGATGTTGAATGATCTTGTGTATGTTCTTCTGAGTCTTCCAATTTGCTTCCCACTGCAACCATACAAAATAAAACATTAAAAACTTTCCAAAACATCCACAGAAACAAAAAAGTAAACATCCATACTTGTACAGCAAATAATCTATTGTTCAATAAATAAATAAATAAATATCCCCCACCCAACCCAAAAAACCTATTTCTTCTGTGCATGGCATTTTTTTGTTTAGACACAGCTTTGGCACTCAGATATTTGTACAGAGTTCTCAGTGCCATCTGTGGGAGTTGTGCATGTGTAGCTGAGGGCAGAGCTGTTTGTTAGAAAGAAGTTAGTGGATTGTTCAGAAAAAAATGAAAGCAGCTCTTTGAGGTTTTTGCTTTGAAGAATTTTCAATTAAAATTCAGTGATGAAGTCATACAGTTCACCTAGTATATAAATATATTTTTGTCATCTAGGACAACAAGCAAGGTCAATAAAGAATAGTTTTTCTATGTCTCAGTGGAAAGAAGAATGTTATCCATGTGATTGCAAAGGGTCTGCCAAATGAGAAAAATCAGTTAAACAAAGAGCACAGGGTTGCTTGCTGGAGTAAACAATTCTAAATGAACAAAAGCTCTACATAAAAGTAAAATGTCCCACCCCCTAGTGAAAGCTGTTTTCAAAGCTCTGTATTCTTTCAGAGTGCTGTAATACAGATTAACTTAATGTTTTTCTTCTGTTGATACAACAGTCTGGTTCCTCAGTCTACTACTGTGATTTCAGCTGTCATATTCTGTTCTTAATGTTTTAATATTTTACAAACTGCCTTTTAAAAATCTGTTTTTCTACTCCCTACACTTCAGAAGATGCATCTGTACTGTACACCTTTCACATCAAGCAAGTTTGTTGGGAGATTTATATATAAAAGTAATGCTAGAGGCAAAGAAGGCCAAATAAGCCCCCCAAATCCCCTTTTGTACATGCAGTTTCAGGAGAGCTTAGTCACCCTTCCAAGGCATGCAACTGAAAACCAGCAAACAAAATCCTCTTGGTACGAACCCGGAATACCAGGCTGCGATAGGCCCATGTGCTAATTTAAGGTGCTCAATGTGCTACCAACCTGGAAGATCACAGTTTATAGAAAACATCAGTGATATATGATGATGAGGATCACAGACAAAACCTTAGAAACTGAAAATACGACTGCAGTGGCAGGATACACCCTATGTTCTACAACGGTCAAAGCAATATGTGCCCACTGCCTTGGTGGCACAAGACCCTTCTGGATCTTAGGATTTTTGCTCGTACAGCTGGTAAGGAAAACTATCAGACTGGATTAAATATCCCATGTTACTATGAATGTCCCATATAGAAAATATTAACTATTGTGTTGAATTTTATCTAATATTTTTTGATGTGATGAGGCTGGCCTTTGCAAATACTTCATAAAAATTGCAACAAGTTCAAAAAGCCCAGGGCTCACACACACTGTTTTGCATTAAAATGAGCAGGTGTTTTAGGTAGCTGCTAGCAGTGCTTTTAGTCAGGAGTGTCCATGTCTTATCATAACCTGTGTTACTTAAGCATAGAATTTCAAATCACATCACACTAACCAGGAAGCACAGGTTGTCAGCATGAATCTGGATTTCAGGCAGTTATTTAAATAGTTTTTGACATATACTTGCTTCCTATGTAGACAGAAAAGTAAGATGTCCCTAGGATTCAGATAAGCTGGAAATATGGGGAAAGAAGCTGCCTGACTTAAGTCTTTTCACTAGAAATTTCCATTGAAAAAAATGCGTTTTTCAGGCTGTGACACCTCAAATTGAACTAACTTGCTTAAAATATTTTGAAATGCCTAAGGAAGATGTTTAGTTTATATATCAGCATAGCTCCTGTGAAGTTTAGAGCAATTTATACTAGCTGATAATCCAGCCCATTTCTTTCAGACAACACATATTAAAAGCAATGAACAGTGTAAATCTCAGTATGAAAAGCTAGCTTACAACCATGCCATTCATATGGTGATTTTTAACCACTTCAGTCTTAGGAGTCCTATAATTCGTTCAACAGAGCAAGAGAAAGACTCATTTCTATTTTCAGTTGCATTTAAAAAAAATAGTAAAAGTTTAATTTTAACAGCACAGTTCCCATTTTATCCCTCTATGCCCCTAGTCATTCTGTGCAGTTATGCTGGCAGATTCCTACCATTGCAGAACTGTGATTCTACTGCAGTGGAGACCGTCTCTTTTTCTTTACAGAGATTTCCTGCATGCTGGGGAAAGGCGTATGGACATAACCGGGCAGAACAAACTGCCCGAGGATGCCAGTTACACAGTGGCGAATGCAACTGTGCACTGATGCCAGTCTCAGGACAGTGCCAAGAAAACCATTCTCACAGAAGGCTGGATTCAGCTCCCATGAAAAATACAAACACCTTAACTCCAAAGATCTTTGTGTAACAGAATGTGTGAAAATTATCTACAGAGAATGCATAATCTCTAATTTAAGGAGATGCAACATAAAATGTAAATGGAAGTGACACAATCATGATCATTGGCAGCATGATCACGGTATTTCATATAATTTTAAAACATCAGCTGCTGTTTTAAATCCTAAGACAGAACAACTGAGGCCCTTAAATGCTATGACAATGTAAGTTGAAAAATAATCTCACATCTCCCTTACTTCCAGTATTATGGTTTCTATCTATTTAGGTCATATGGTTCCTACTGTCAGGACAGCTGAATTTATTATTTGTTAGCACTATGTTTCAGTGTCATTACTCTTTTTTTTTTTAACACAGAGTGAATCTGATTAAACTACACTTTAGTCACATGCGTGTTCTAAATCATAGGACACTATAACCATTACTACAATAATAAGCACTAGTGGAGACTGTGATTCATTTCCTTGGAAGTGAGGTGGGGGTTGCTCTGAAGAGGTGAGCACAACTGTTAACTGTTATTCTTGACTTGCTGCTCCTACTATAATAAAGTTATCTATTAGTTTGTCTGCCACGTTCCATGGAAATGCGGCTCATTTGACATAGTTTATCATGTATTTGTTGCAATGCTGAGGCACAGCTGACAGCTAAAGGAAGCACTGGCTTTGAATATATTTGGATTTACTGTTTTGGTTAGCTCCTGGGAGTGGAATACTCAAAAATCCGCACTCCTATTAGACATCTGAGGATTGGCACTTGTCCTATTTATATATGGATTAAGTTCAAACATCTTTACTATGCATTTTGGATAACAGACACAATTTTCCCTTATCTTAATGTACTAATACAGAATCAGGACTGACGTTCTGGTTTGAGACTTGGTTGTTTCAGCATAACAGCGAACAAACTATGACCTACTTTATGCACTACTGTATAATACAACTTGTTTGTGACAGTAGCTTATGAAAGGTTTATACACCCACACTCTTTATTTTGTTTAAATCATAAGAACCATGAGAATTACATTTAGTAATTTAAACAGTTGAAAACAGTAATGAAAAATACCAGAGACTCAGACTATAAGAAGATGAAAATCCATTAAAGAAAATCTATTGGAATAATTTATTACCAGGGGCTTAGAGTGAAATATATATATAGAAAGGAGTTTCACCCCTAGCCTCCCAATGAAATGCCAAAGAAGCCTCAACACGAAATTGGAGCCACCAGCAATCTTTCTGAAATATGACCTGACTTTTAAAGAGACAGTTCTTTATAAAGTGTATAATTTTAACCTCTTACTATTGGAAGTCAGTATGCACGCAATTATGAGTGAAACCTTTCACTTCAGGAAATCTTTAGTCACCAGTAATAGGAAAATCATGTATTGAAAAAAGATACATTAAACAAGCAAATAATGAAGCAGAAATTATGCCCATAGACATTCCTGCTACTCATGAATCTGAAATCGAACTGTCAGAGGATCACTCATCAAAGGAGACTTCTATAAAATTGATACATAAAAGTGACGGGACAAACTCTCCAAATCAGCAACAGAGTTTGTAAAATGCTTAGTCTTGCCTCCATGACTTTAGAGAACAATTTCAGGACATTTTTTAATTCACTTAGTATCAGATTAGGGAAACAAGAGCTGACATACAGGAAACTCCCAAGTAATGGAGACGGGAAAAAAGGACTGAAAGATTTCTGGCAGAATTTGTTTGTACAATGCACCACACTTTCCTAATATTTGACAGAAAGACTAAGAATTCATTTGGACATATCTAGATGTCATTTTTAGAATTCAGGGTGTGCAAAGAGAAAAAAAATACTGGAAGATAGAAGCATTAGACTAGATGAACAACTGACATGAACACCTGAGTTTAGGAGGGAACAAGCTACACAGAATTAGATACACTGGAGACACTACTGCTACTGATTACCCAAGTGTCCTCCAAATCTTTCAGTGACATAAGATTCATGAAGAGACAGCCACAGAAACACAATAGTCTAGGGAAGAAGACCCTGGACTGAGAGGAAAATCCAGAATGAAGGCAACCAGTGCATCTTCAGTGCATCTGAGTAATGCAGATTTTTTTCCATGTAAATAGTCAAGCTATAAAAACAGAATGGTGAAAATAGAAAGAACTGACCAGAAGTGAAGAGACGTCATTCCAGAGTGGTAGGTCCCCAGGAAAAAGCATTTTGGGATTTTCAGGCAGCAGCCAACATGGACAGAAAACTGGAATGCCAGATTTGCTGGGCAGCTTCATAAAAACTGCATTTACACCCATTAGCTCCTCTCATTTCTGAAATGTTTCCTACTTGTGAAATAGGATAGGTTCTGTAAAGTCACCAAATTTAAATACTTACACAGACTAAAACAAATGACCAGGTTAAAAAAAAAAAAAAAAAGACATCCAGGTTACTAATACAACAATCTGGGTTTATAGGGAAGTCTGGGGTAAGTAGCTTGTATGTTCTGCAATCTGTCACCCACTTCTTTGCTCATCTCTGAATCATATTTTAAGATCCCAGTAACAGTTCATGGTCTTTCTTTCCCTGCTCTCCCCTCCCCCCCCCCTTTTTTTTTTAACAAAAGTCTCAAGTCTAGTTTTGCTGCAGGACTATTT